GGGAAGGGTGAGGGAGGGCGAGCAGACAGTGGGCAGCACTCCTGCTCCCTGCTTGTTTGACCTCTTTAGTTGCCACCCTGGGGTGGATTTCGGCCTGGAGGCCTCCTGTGGGTTTCCTCTCTGTGCCCTGCCCCAGGCACCCGCCTGCCCCCACCATGCTCCTGAGCTGGCTCTGCTCATCTTCCTCTGCTTCCCCAGATCCTGGCTGGGGGTCTGCGAGGCTGACAGAAGCCCACCTTCAAGAGTCAACCCTGGCCTGCAAGAATGTGAGAGGCTCCTAGCACCAACGCCCGCAGGACCAAGGACCCTGAGCACACCTGCCCCCCGTGGGCTCCTCACACAATGTCAAGTACAGGGTATTTCTGACACAAGTCATATAGCTTCCGTGACCATATTTCCTAAAGCCAGACTCAGGTGTTTAGAATTGGGGCTATGATGGAATCGCTGTTGCAACAGCCCAGGCTCCAGTGTCTACCCACGGTGCCAAGACAGGAGGCAGGGCCTCCCCCAGGGTCCCCGAGGTGGGTGTGGGCTTCCCCTCCTCACAGCTGCCTCGGGCACCGAGCCCCTTTCTGCCCTGTCCCAGCCCCTCTGGTTGATAAACAGCAGGCCTCCTCCTCTCAGGACTGCTGCCTTTCACCTTGATTTCCCCAGGGCTCACAGCGGCCTCGATAAACCAGCTTCGCCCACCAGCTGGTTCCCGCCCCCTCCCGGACTGCCAGGCTGGGATCTGGGGCTCGCTGAGTCTTGAACACCCTTCTAGGTTGTTTCTCTTACCTCAGGGGGTTCTGTAGCAGGAGAGGGTCCCCGGGGGAACCCCAGAACAAAGGCTCCTTGTTCTGGGGCAGGAAAGAGAAACTCACATGCCTGGCATGTTGCCTACTGAGGGCTCAGGAACCATTTCCTCAAGAGGAAGGAGGCGGCCCAGCTGGGCTTTAAGAAAAGATTAGGCATCAGCAAGGAAAATAAGGAGGAAAAAGTACTACAGGCAGCGGAGAAAGCATATGCCAAGCCCAGCAAAGAAAATAATGAATATGAGAAATTCTGAGCAAAAAACTTAAAAAAAATTTTTTTTTTCTTGGCTGAGAATGGCTGCTCACACATGTAATTCCAGTACTTTGGGAGGCTGAGACAGGAGGATTGCTTGAGCCCAGGATTTTCAAGACTAGCCTGGACAACATAGCAAGATCTTTTATACACACACACACACACACGCCGGGCATGGTGGTATACCTGTAGTCCCAGCTACTCGAGAGTCTGAGGAGGGTGGAGAAGATTGCCTGAGCCCAGGAGGTCGAGGCTTCAGTGAGCCATGATTGTGCCACTGCACTCCAGCCTGGGCAATAGAGTGAAACCCTAAGTTAAACAAACAGACTGTTTTAAAAAATTGTTGTCAGTGCTGTACTGGGCTAGAAACTGGGGATAACACAGGAGTGATGAAGTCCCTGCTGCAACTTCTTACATTCTAGAGGAAGACAGGTAGCAAAGGGGAAACAGCCACAAATGGTGATATCTGCTCTGCAGGATAGAGACCAGCAGGGAGGGTGTCAGGGTCCTCCGAGGCCTGAAGGATGTGAAGTTGGGAGGTGGGAGCAGTGAGGGGGCTGAGGCTAGAGAAGTCACCGGGCAGGCATAGAGGGACCACAGTCCTGAGGGGCTGCTTTAGGCAGCATTCTTAAAGGTCTGAGAGGGGTGGTCCCACCTCTGCGAGGCTACCCCCACACAGCCTTGGTGGGGGGGTGGGAAGACCCCAGGTGTGGGTGTGTATCCTCTGGGTGTGGGGGTGGAGTGGGCTCTAGGGGACCCAGACAGCCTTGGCCACAGAAGAGAGACCAAGGTGGCTCAGAGGGAGCCCTCAAATCTGGCTTACGGGTGGGGGCATCAAATCCAGCCTTGAAGAGAATGAACTGCAGAATCTGACATCTGGGCGAGTCCAGCTTCCAACACTTACTAGCTGTTGGATCTTGGGCCAGTGAACTTACTTCTTGAAGTTCCCTTGTCCTCATGTGTCAAGGGAGATAAACTACTTCCCTCACCCGATTGTTGTACCATGCTGAACAAACAGTAAGTGCTTTATAGTAAGTGTAACAATACTTAATAATAATAATGGTAACCCGCTGTTGAGGCCAGTCTCCTGTCTTGACGTGAAAGGGCCATCCACACAGTTCACTCTGCGAGGGCTGTCCCTTGTGCTGTGCCTCCAGGGGACAAGCCCAGAGCTACCCACTGCCCTGCGTTTAACTGAGGTGTCGTGCGGGAATGATGCCTTCCCACCCCATCTGCCACCAGAGGGTGGATCTCTTTGTGAGATGGGGCCCCTAAAGAGCCTTGGCTGTTGTTTCTGTCTCAAAAGTGTTCTATTATTGCAGAATTAATATCTACCACTTATTGAACTTTGCACTCATTTAGCTCTCATTAATGCTCCGGCAGCCCTAGATAAAGAAATTGAGGCTTCAAGGGATTGAGAACCCATCCCACCCACCCCCTAACATAAATGCATTTGCCTTGATTCTCACAGGCGGTAAGAGATCCAGGACTTGATCCCAGATGCCACCCCCCTCGCCCCAGAGCCATAATGTCTACACCTTATAATACACCAGAATGATATTTCATGTTCAGTTCCATTTAGAACAGTTACAGGCTTTCTCCCAAGACTTTCTGTGGCGGTGCTGGGAATAAAGATGGGGCCAGCCCTTCTTCCTTCACACAGTGGTATTAACTACCCTCCTCATTGTCCACATTGTAAGTCTGGTGCTTGCTGTCATGACTAGGAGGCCATACGCCACGATTTCTGGGGGTGTCTGTGTGTGCTGGTGGCAGGGGAACACCCTCAAGGAATCCAACTTCTCTAGAGAGCTTGCCCTATTCCCTACATAAAGACCTCAACAGTGGGCTACCATTATTAAGCACTGACCCGCATGGTACAACAATCGGGTGAGGTGGGTAGTTCATCTCCACTGATACGTGAGGACATGGGAACTTCCCTACACAGGGCATGCAGACGTGCCCTGCCTCAGGTCACTGTTTGTAGGCCAGTGGTTGAAGGAGGGGAGGAGACCTGGCTCATTCTCCCGGCTCTGCTGCTAACCAGCTGGGCGTGACCTGGGGCGAACCATTCACTTCTCAGTGTCAGTTTCTCATCTGTAGGTCACGGTCTTAGCTCATGGGTCCTCCCAAAGGTTCCTTTACCTCTTACTGTGCTTCCCATCGATTTATTACCTGCTCAATGGGGCGTGGAAGTGGCGGGTTGTCCTTGCAGGGCCTTTCAGAGAAAGGACTCCTGGCTGGAGGATTATGGTCTCCTCCTCACATTGACCTGACGACCTCGGACCGAATGCCCCATGGACCTCCTCAGCCCCAACGCCACCTCATTCTCCCCCAGAGCAGCCCCCTGAGCTTCCTTCAGATTCCAGCGAAGCCCCAGGGAGGGCCCAGCTGTAGACATCTCCCCAGCATCTGTCCTCTTCTCCTTCAGCCCCCTCCTCACCCCTTCACCTATTCTGAGGGGAAAGGGTACGCCTTAGGCAGGTCAAGGATCCCCACCCCTAGAAGAACGAAACCAGACTCCAAGAGCAGGAACTCAGCTTTCACAGCTGACCCCTTGGGCCTGACTTGTCTCCTCAGGCCTGTGTTTTTGCCCCCTCACCGGGGCAGGGCCCTGGCTCCTCCCCAGTGTCCAACTTGGCCTTGCCTACCACTGATGCTTGCTTTCCCATCCCCTGTTGTCCTGGAGGTCATTCACAGCCAAGAGGGAAAACAACTGGCCTTCTCCCCTCTCCCTCTCCTGCCCTGCCCAGCAGTGCAGTCTCCTCAAGAGAGAGAGGCCCAGGCCCTTGGGATCTCAGTTCCTGGAGCCTCGGTGACACTTCACCTTAGAAAAGGAGGCCTCCTCTCAAAGCCTTGGTCTCTGCCCTAGAGGAGAGCCCCCTGCAAGTAAGGGTGCTGATGGCCTTGGGGAGGGTCATGGGTGGGGCACGGCCAGTCCCTCTGGTCTCCCTCACTGGCTGCTTCATTCCAGGTTTCCCTGCTGTCTGGGGTTATGTGTGCTAGGCCTTGGTCATGGCAGAAGATAATCTGGAAGTTACAAGGCAGAAGTTGGGGGGGAGGGGGTGCTCTACCAATGGGAAGGGGCGGTCTATGGGGGCATGACTTGGGGGAAATTGAGAAAGACCCAGGGAACATCCATCTCGACTCTAGGGTGAGATCCACCTGGTAGGGCTGGTGAGTTCCATGGCTTCTTTGCAAGACCTACTCATCTCTACCCTGAGAGATCAAAGGGCCTTTCTTTGGGGCTGCCGAATTCTTCCAGAGGAAAGTGGGCTTCGGGTGCTGCCTGTTAACTCTCCTTCCTCCACCGCTGCAATGGCCTGACGTGCCTCTC